ACAACCCAGAGCAATGGACGGTCTATAAGGTCCCATCTTGCCTCATCTGAGGTGGCCTCAGCATCTCTAGATCCCCCTCTGGAATCCAGACTCGTTCCCCGTTATCTAGACATTCGTCTTGGACAAGCTCAGAGGCTCTGGTTTTCGTTACTTGCCAAGTTGTTTGATTCCGCTTCCCCACCAGAATCTCTCCCTCCACCTTCATACCTAGCTGGGGTTATGACTCGGTTTGGTCAGAAGCAAAGTTCAGAACAACTGAAACTTGAATTATCCTGAATTTTACTTAGGCAGGGGGAGGAATCTCCATCCCTGGAAGTTTTTAAGTCCCGGCTTGTCAAAGTCCTGGTTGGGATGATTGAGTTGGGATTGTTCCTGCTTTGGAAAGGGGGTTGGACTCGATGACTCCTGAGGTCTCTTCCCACCCTAAGAGTCTCTAAGTATTGGTGACTGGTGTTATCTGAAACGATCCCTTCCTGTCTAGTTGTCCACTTACGTGAGAACCCTCTTTGTAACAGCATAACCCATACCAAAACAAGCAAGCAAACAAACGGATGGAGAATATTCATAAAATAATGTAAATATCTCCTTTACTCAGTGATATTATAGGATGTAATTTACCACTAACATTTTTGGCAAGTATCATTAATGGGGAATCTTACCTTTACACTTATTTTGTAAATACCTTGAAATATTGGTAGCTTGTATTGAATTGACAACAATAGATTAAGATTTCCTGTAATAAAATACACAGACTTTTCACATTTGTTTAATTTAGGGATTAATGATCATATAGGAGAGAGAGAGAGAGAGAGAGAAAATCATTATTAATCTTAGGAATTTGTCATCTTTTTTCATGGTATTTCTCCATTTTTGTATTGATGGAAAAAAAGGACAGATACCATATTATTCATTCTTTCCATGGCTTTACAATAATGATCAAAACACTGCAGCTTACAATAGCAATATTTTTGGCCCTCACTATCAAAGAGAATATTTAACCATATTTCCTAGTACTGTATGTCTAGCTTCCCATGTTTCCTACTCACCTTTCCCATGTTATGGAGGTTGATCTATTTCATGACCACACCAGTCTCTGGAACCTCTGTGAGGTAGGAGACCTTGTAGTTTGTCGACTACAGCTGGTCGAAATTTTTCTTCATGACAGTTGCCCATTGGAAAATGATGACTTAAAAAAAATGAGAATGTACCAGTTGTCAAAATTGTACTGAAACGTGCAATAATATAATATAGAAATGATGAAGTTGGAATAAATTACTTCAAATATAAAAACGAAACACATTGGCCGGTTTGTAATAAAAGGTATTTTAATGAGCCTGTTTCACTGTTTCCAGAATGAGAGAGTTTTTAGAATGTCAGTTTTGTGGGAAATTTCACGGCGAGTTTCTCTTTCATTTCTATATGAATGAAAGTTTCGGGGTGTCAGAATTTCCTACGGAACAGCAATTCTAACTGCTCTCAATTTTACACCGTCAACAAACGGACCCATGCTCCATTTTGAATTAAATGAGGCATGTCATCAGCATGGTGCATTGTCTGTACATTGATCTGGAACCACATTAAAACATTCCCAAGGAATAATAAACATATAATACAGTACATGTGTTTATCCAGTCCTCCCAGCCTGCCCCCTTGGCTCGTCGCAGTGAAAGAAAGCCAGCCAGCCAGCGACATCAATCAAGCAATGTTCTTTGCCCAGTTACGTACATTGTGTCCCACTTCATCCATCTAGTGCTGTTATCTCCATCGTGCCTTTCACGTAGCCTTCAATCCACGGCTCTAAGAACACCAGGAAGCAACACCAGCTCTGTAATAACATCAAGACCGTCTCTTACCTGCCTTGGGAGCCGAGAGTCGTTTATTCAGCGTCTCATCAGGCTGCTTTAACTATGAGCTGCAGAACTCGTCTAGGGACATGAAACCCGATGGGTGATCTCACTGTTCTTGGCAAACTCCTGCAGCTTCCCTATGGCATTGTCCACCTTGAACACCAGTGGGGACCCACAAAGTGTAAAATAACCAGATGATATTTCAGCGCTCAACTGAGATACTTTCCCTCTAGAGGTCAGCAAGGATTAGGTGTTGCCCAAAAGAATAAGGGTTGCAGGATGGTGTCTACGCTACAGAAGATCGAAACTGCCACTGTCCATCTTCTAGGGTTCGAATGAGCGGGTCTAGAGAAGACAGCTAATTCGAACTTAGAGGGGCGCTCCTGTCAATGCCGATAGCCCTGATTCCATGAGGACGAAGGGAAGTCGAAGGAAGAGTGTTCTCCGACTTCCCGCAGTGTGGAGAGCGCCAAAAGTCAGGGTAAGCTACTTTGATTTAAGCTACGCAATTAGCATCGCTGAAGTTGCGTAGCTTATTTCAACTTTGTCTTCTGTTGATGTACCCAAAGAGAATGTTGATTATTGTAGATTGGAGCTAGCTTGGTTCCAGCGAGGGCACTAAGGGTATGTCTACACTACGGGACAAAGTCGAATTAAGGACAGGACAGGGATGCAGACGTGGCCTGGATGGTGGCCACAACTTGGAAGGAGGCTCAGTACATGCATGGAGGAAGACGTGATGGCTGCCAAGGATGGGCCAGTGCTGCCGAAAGAAAGTCTTTCCCCATTCTCATCCTCCCTTCCCCAAGCCCACTGTGGGGAATCGTGCATTGAGCATGGAGGAAGCAATCCTGCTCTTTCCACACGTGGGACACCACCAACGTGCCATCCTGGCCTGGAGAGTCATCCAAGGGGGCTGGTCTGCTCCACCGCACCTTCATAGCCATGGTCATGTGGTGCTGGTCCTTTAGATTCCCCACAACTTCTGCAGAACCCCAAGAAAATGTGACCCATCGGGGGGAATCGTGCATTGAGCATGGAGGAAGCAATCCTGCTCTTTCCACACGTGGGACACCACCAACGTGCCATCCTGGCCTGGAGAGTCATCCAAGGGGGCTGGTCTGCTCCACCGCACCTTCATAGCCATGGTCATGTGGTGCTGGTCCTTTAGATTCCCCACAACTTCTGCAGAACCCCAAGAAAATGTGACCCATCGGCATTACAGTTCAACCCCTCCAGATCACAGGTCAGTTCTAGTTTATAACATGGAGACACTTTGAGCAGAAATCTACACAGTGGGTGCTCTTTACTTCCTGACGGGAGAAATACAAAGCACTTGACACAGTTAATAAGCCTTACGCATGTTTCTTCTGCACAACAGGTTCTTGGGTAGGGTCTGAGTTCAGGTAGGCTGGGTCGCCCTTTCCCTGTCTCCTACAGTGTCTTCTCCCACCTCAAGAGGTGAAAAATGGCCAGGGAGAGAAAGCAATGGAGCTGCTACACGGGAGGGCTACAGTTGAATGAAGCTACCCAACTTCAGCTGCGTCAATTGCATAGCCTAACTCGGCTAGTGGTGCTGTCTACATAGCAGGAAGTCAAAGAAAGGACAGTGATAGAAATGCAGCCGTGTTGGTCTGGTGTAGCTGAAGCAAAAGACAGGACTATATAGCACTTTAAAGACTAACAAGATGGTTTATTAGATGATGAGCTTTCGTGGGCCAGACCCACTTCCTCAGAAGAAAGGACACACTTCCTTCAACTCCTCTTACTCCTCATGAAATGTGGGTTACAGGAGTTGGAGAAGACGTCCTCCAGCTCGACGTTATTTTGAAATAACGGCTTGTAGTGTAGACGCTGTTACGAGTGCATAGTTTTATTCAGGTATTACACAAAATTATAATGTGTTTGTCCCGCCCGGGTTGCTCTGGGTTATCCTCCCAATCCGGGCCTATCCGTAAGGCAGTCTTGCTCAATAAGGTCTCCACTTCCGTCTGCGGGACTATAACCACAGCTGGGTGGCAGAGAGGGGGGACCCAGTCCCACCCACGCTCCTGGACCCCGGCCCAAGGCCCTAGCGCTAGAAGCAAAACACCCAGCGATAACAGGTGGGGGGTTCCCCTAAACTCGCCTGTTCACAGGCTCCACGACCCAACTCTGGGCCACATTCAACTCTGCCACCGGCGTGCCCTCCGGCCATCTCCCCAGAGGAACCTCCTCCCACGTCCCTTCACCCACGCTCCCATTACCTGCCGCCCCTGTTCCCCCCTTATCCGCGCTCCCCCTCCCGCTTTTAAGCGTACCGCCTCCCCATCCTCCGCGTGTGACGTCTCCCGCTCTGACTACTCCCATGCCCCGCTCCCTCTCGTTGCACCGGTGACGTCCGGCGATGTCAGTGGTTGAGGGGGCTGTCCGTACCTGCCTCGCATCCCGGCCGTGGTGCTGCAATGCCATGTAGTACTGCGCCGGGAGTGTCCGGCGGTGCTCAGCCCACCGCCCCTTGGGGCATGTCCGCATTTCCCCCACCCGCGTCCGGAGTCCCTTGCTGGGGATAGTGCCTCACCCCCTCACAGACGCACTCTCTGTTATTTCGAAATAACGTCAGTTACTCCGCAATAATGCGGCTGTGGAGACGTATCCCCGAAGCCAGTTCTCTTGGTCAGGAGCCAGCCTTCTGTGTGGAGCTACTCTGTTTTAGGGGGTTGGACACTTTAAGTGAAGGACCTCATGGCCTGTCCCTCCTTTGGATTCCAGTCTAACATGTGGTCAAAAGCACAGAGGGTATGTTTTCACAGCAAAGTTATTTTGAAATAACTTTCCTAGAGTGTCCACAAGCCAACTGCTATTTTGAAATTAATTCGAAATAGCGGAGGGCTTATTTCAAAATAGGGGGCCTACAGCCCTTCCCAGGGTGCATTTTGTGTGTAGACATGTTAATTCCAAATAAGGTATTTCGAAACTACGCTGTAGTGTAGACGTACCAGAGAAGGCAACCAGTATGGACCTCTGTTCCAACCAGAGCATGCAGGAGGTCTCTCGTGATACAGAATTCAAACATTATGCATGCAGATTCCCCAAGTCAACCCAAGGACTGTGTGGCTATGTCTAGACTGCAAGCCTCTTTCGAAAGAGGCTTTTTCGAAAGATACTTTCAAAAAAGCCTCTTTCGAAAAAGAGTCTCTAGACTTCAAGCAGTACTTTCGAAAAAGTGAGCCACTTTTTCGAAAGAGCACCTACACAGTCTGGATGCTCTCTGTTGAAAAAGCCCTATTTGCATTCAAGAATGCCTTTTTTTCGAAAGAGCACTTTCGAAAAAGGCGTTCTTCCTCGTGAAATGAGGAGTACCGCCGTCGAAAGAAAAGCCGCGTTCTTTCAATTTAATTTCGAAAGAACGCGGCTGTAGTCTAGACACAGGGGAAGTTTTTTGAAAAAAGGCTACTTTTTTCGAAAAGACCCTGCGGTCTAGACAAGCCTGGGTGTGTGTGTGTGTGTGTGTGTGCATGCAGTGGTGTGCACTGTGGTTGCTTTGTGTACATGAGAGAGGGCACCCCAGGGAGCTACCCATAGAAGCTGGGGCAGAGAAAGAAGTCTAAGGAATGTTGGCGACCGAGGGGGAAGGGGAGGTTCTCCGCTCTCTTCTGCAGTGTTGTGGGCTCCTAGTGAAGAAAAAAAATATTTTTTTCCCATGTGGCTGGGCAAGGAGAGGAAACCCAATGAAAATGGGGACCCCAGATGTCTCAGCGTTAGCCCTTTACCAAGGTGTCTCAAAACTCACCCGGACAGGATAGCTGTCGGGAATTCAGCGCACTTAGCTGCCATTGAGAGAGAGGAGATGTCTCGGCTCTCTGGTCGTGCCCACCCTCGGCCCCAGAGGGGACCCCCCCTCCAGCATGGCAGCCGCCTCTTGGGGAGCTCCTCCAGCCCTGCAGCAGAGAGACAGCTCACTCCAGTGCAGCGACCATCTCTTGGGGGGCCCAGTCTCACCGGGGAGGCTGCCACTCCAGGATGCACCTCTCAGGGCCTCCAGCGGCCTGCCTCCACCGTGAGCCCCTTTTGGGGGGTCCCCTCCTTCTGGACTCCTGGGACCCCCACTCGCAGAGGGAACAGCGCCCCCCTGTTCTCCAGCCCAGAGCAACTCCCAGCCAGCAGCAAACAGGGGGGTTTATGTAGCAAAGGATCCCGCAGGCCTGGCAGCCTCGGTCCCCCAACCTCGCACATCTGAGTCTCCCCTGCAGCCAGCTGAGTCCTGCCTGCACTGCCCTCAGTCCCCAAAAAACAGCCCTAGTCTCCCAGCAGAGCCCCCAATACACCCCACAACAGCCCCTCCCCCGGACAGTGTCTTCTCCCCAGGTAAGAGGGTCGCCTGGGCCCCTCTTTTCTGCCCCCCTCCATTGTTCTCTCCTCGCTGGGGCCAGCTGGGTCAGTTGACGGGGTCTCCCCTCTGCAGCCCCTTGTCTGTCGTCTGGCCAGACTGGCCGTGTTCTCTGAGCAGAGTTGGGGGCACCAGGGATCTAGTTCTGGGCTGTTCTCTGCAACAACAAACTCCCCCCCCTCCCCTTGTCACATGGAACCAGTAACATCCTGGCACTGAGCACCCCCTCTGCATGCAACACCTCCCTTTGAACCCCCAAAACTCCCCACTTCCTCACAGGAGACCAGTGAGGTCAGCTTGCCAGAAATCCCACACATTCTACAACACACAGTCCATGACTTAAGACTGCCATGCCCGACTGTCACAGAAACAACCCACAACCCAATAGCCACTGTACCCAAAGCAGACGTTACACCCACAAAAAGGAGATATGAAGATAAGAACAGTCATACCGGGGGGTGTCTAGACTACAGGCTTTTGTCGACAGAGGCTTTGTTGACATGAGAGTGTAGATGCAAAGGACAGTATAGATGCAATAACGCCTTGGGTGCGTCTAGACTACAGGGTTTTGTCGACAAAAGTGGACTTTTGTTGAGACAACTCTACCTGCGTCCACACTGCCTTTGAGTTATGTCGACATAACGTCGACAAAACTCAGCAGTTTTGTCGACGTATGTAAACCTCATTCTACGAGGAATAACGCATTTTGTTGACAGAGTTCTGTCGATATTGCATCTACACTGTCCTTTGTGTCCACACTGTTATGTCGACAAACCGGCTTGCTTTGTCAACAGAACTGGATGTAGTCTAGACGCTCTTTGTCGACAGAAGCTTTGTCGACAATATCTGTTGACAAAACGTCTGTCGACAAAACCCTGTAGCCTAGACATACCCCAGATCAGACCAAAGGTCCATCCAGCCCAGTGTCCTGTCTTGCAACAGTGGCCAATGCCAGGTGTCCCAGAGGGAGTGAACGGAAGAGGGAATCAGCAAGCGACATACCTCCTGTCGCCCATTTCCAGCCCTTGACAAACAAGCTAGGGACACCATTCTTACCCATTTTGGCTAATAAGTATTGATGGACCTACCCTCCATTAATTTATGTAGTTCTTTTTTGAACCCTGTTAAATTCCTGCTTTCAGAACATCTTCTGGCAAGGAGTTCCACAAGTTGATAGTGGACTGAGTTTTGTTTTGTTTGTTTCTTTTAAACCTGCTACCTCTTCATTTCATGTGGTGATCCTTGGTTCTTATGTTATGGGAACGAGTAATTAACTTTCCCTTAGTTTTTGCACACTGGTAATGATTTTACAGAACACTATCCTTTCCCCCTTCAGCTATGTCTACACTGCATGCTAATTTCAAAATAACAGTGTGCACCTACACAGCAAGCCCATTATTTCGAAATAATGTCAAAATAAAGGGCATCTTACTCCCACTTTTGTAACCCTCATATTACGAGGAGTAAGGGAAGTCGAAGGAAGAACACGCTTTCTTCGACTTCTTGTTGTATAGATTGTGCCAAAAGCCGAGCTAAGCTACTAGGACTTCCTCTATGCAATTAACGTAGCTGAAATTGTGTATCTTAACTCAACTTTGGCCCATAGTGTAGACATGCTCTTGGTCTACTCTTTTCTAAGCTGAAAAGTCCCAGTCTTTTTAATGGTGAGACATGGCCTTCAAGAAGTTCAAAAGGACTTCCATGTGGCTACTGGATTTATATGGACAATGCTGGAAGGGTGTGGTAACAGGTGGCAGTAAAGAAGGGAGAGAGAGAGATTTTGATCTTATTTACATTGGTGCAAAGCTACAATAACTCTATTGGCCTCGAGTCATGTTGAGATGCATTTTTCCAGTGTAAACAGTGCACAATGAGATTGCAAAGCATATTGTCGAGGAGATACTTCCATCAGTTGATTATATTGATCAAGAGACACCAGTTCAAAGGACTCAGGTGGGCTTTTTATTTTTGGAAAACAGCCTCGATCCCAACATTTTCCACAGGACAGCTTTGATCTCCATGTTCCTCATGCTGTAGATGACCGGATTCATTACAGGTGGCAGCAGGGCATAGACAGTGGCCACCACCAGGTCCAAACCGAACGTCGAGCTGGAGGTGGGTTTCAGGTAGGCGATGGTGCCAGGGAAAATAAACAAGGAGATTACGGCGAGGTGGGGCAGGCATGTGGAGAAGGCCTTGTGCCGGCCCTGCTCCGAGGGGATTCTCTGCACCGTTTGGAAGATCAGAACGTACGACACGGTGATCAGAACAAAGCAGCATAAGACTAAGAACGCGCTCAAGACAATTGCCACGGTTTCGCCAACGTAGGCGTCAGAGCAGGAAAGCTTCAGCAGCTGGGGGATTTCACAGAAGAAATGATCCACCACGTGGCTCTCACAGAAGGTGATCGCAAAGGTGTTTCCCGTGTGCATGGCAGAATTGAGCATGCCGTTAATCCAGGCCCCGGCCGCCATGTGGGCACAAGCCTTCTGGTTCATTATGCTCTGGTAGTGCAGCGGCTGGCAGATGGCCACGTACCGGTCGTAGGCCATGACGGTCAGTAAGGTGATGTCTGCTGAATTGAAGAAGACAAAGAGAAACACTTGGGTGATGCACCCAACATAGGAAATGGACCTGGTGTTCAATATGGAGTTGGCCATGGACTTGGGAACGGTGACGGAGATGGCACCGAGGTCTAGGACAGCCAGGTTCCCCAGGAAGAAGTACATAGGGGTGTGGAGCTGGCGGTTGACAGTGACGGCTGAGATGAGGAGAAGGTTCCCCACCAGGGCGGCCAGGTAAAGCACCAGGAACAGCACAAAGTGCAGAATCTGTAGCTCCCGCACGTCAGAGAAGCCCAGGAGAAGGAACTCAGTAGCGGTGCTTCCGTTGGACATTGTGTCCTGCCTGTGGAGGGAAAGCGAAGGGTCACTGTCAGCATTCAAGTGTTGGACGGAATGGCCTGGATTTCCCCCCAGAATATCTCATGATGTGCTTGTCAAAACCTCAGAATTCCTGCCATTTGCATGGACTCCTTAAGGGTGTTATTTCCCGAGGAGGATGGAGAGAGGCTGTTCTCAGTGGTGGCAATGGCAGAACGAGGAGCAATGGGCTCAAGTTACAGTGGGGGAGGTCTAGGATGGATATTAGGAAAAGGGATGGGTCCCCTAGGAAGGGAGTGGAATCTCCGTGCCTGCAAGTTTCTAAGTCCCGGCTTGACCAAGCCCTGGATGGAATGGTTGAGTTGGGGTTGGTTCTTCTTTGGGCAGGGGGTTAGACACGATGACTCCTCTTCCAGCCCCATGATTCTGAGAGTCTAATGATGCTCGTATCCACAGGCTTAATTCTCTTCAATGCATTGGGACTGCATCTGATTACACTTAGGACACAGCTTGACATGCACCTTGGCCAAATGCATTTTTAGAAAAAAAAAGGATAAACTGAGCAAAGATGGCCCCTCAATTCTGCCAAGCGAAAGACTTGAAACTTCGGCACGACACTAAAATATTGAAATCCCAGCACTGCCTGATTCCCACATTCACAGATTCCCCTAGCGTCCTGTGGGCACCAATCTCCTCTCTGGCTCATGATGGGGTAAGAGTCTCTCTCGGACTGTCTAGGCTGCATGGCTTCCCTCGGTCACGTAATGTCCGTGCCAGCTGGCCAGTGGTCATCATGAGAACTTGGGTTCTGTGCTTGGTTCTGTGTGACATGGGGCCAGTTACTGCCCCTCTTTGTGCTTCTCTGTCCCCTTCCTCCCTTTCCCTGCCTTGTGAACTCTGTGTAGGATGGAGCTCGTCTTACTGTGATTTGTCCTACAAACCAGATCTGGATTCTCTTCCCAACGACTGCCTGTGGGTCTGTCTACACTACAGGAGGGACAGACCTTCCCAGATCCAATAGACAGGCATTCTTTATCTGTACAGCTGGTCCCCGAGTTATGAACGCATCGATTTACAACCGTTTTTATTTACAACCAACCTCCTATACAGCCAGAACCCGAGTTACAAACACAATTAGCACTTACAAACAGTTGGCCATACGTCAGTGAATGTAATCCAACTTACGAATACATCGAGTTACAACCAAGTGCTTGGAACGTAATTTGTTCATAAGTCGGGGACTGGCTGTATTTGAGTGAGTGCCCATGTAGCCAGCAGTAGCCTGGCCATCCGCTCAGACTGTATGGCTGGGTGGGTACCCCCAGAACTTGGGCAGGTTTGTACACAAAGCACCATTATTGCTGGATTTGGTCTGCTTGCTCACACACGACTCATGCATGCCTACGTACCCAAGCTTGGAAGGACACTCCCAGCTGCAGTATAGACCTACCCTTAGGGTACATCTACACTGCTCCCTTACCTCGAAATCAGCCATGCAAATTGTGTAGCTTATTTTGGGATAATTTCGGAATAGCTTGTTTCAAAACGTGGCACTGTCTACACAGCACTTATTTCAAAATAAAGCACCATTCCGAAACGTCCCTTAACCCTTGTGGAAGGAGGCATACAGAGACATTGGAACAGCATGGCTGTTATTTTGAAATCTATTTCGAAATAACGAGCTGCTTTAAAGACGCAGAATAGCTATTTTGAGCTCTGCAGTATAGATGTAGCCTAGGCCAGTGGTTGCTTGTAAGGACAAGCCGCTAGCTGGCCACTAGATGTTTTGTTTACCTGTGCCTCCACCGGTACAGGCAATTGTAGCTCCTGTTGGCCATTGATCGCCAACCAGTGTCCTGGTCTGTACCGCTTCCTGCAGCTCTCATTGGCCAGAAACGGTGATCCACGGCAGATGGTAGCTGTGATCACGCATATCTGGGAAACAAAGGGATCTGTAACCCAGCATTTCAAAACCCCTGAACTAGGCTGCAACTTCTTGGTTCCACTTTGATTCTGAATTTCAATGTAGAAGAGGGTCTAAAACATAGCCCACAAGCTAACAACTCTTGTTTTCTCAGTTTTCCCACCCTGAAGCTATGTCTTTCAACCAGAAATAGAAATGAATGTTTGACAATATCGTATCGTTGAATATCGCCATCCTGGAAAAAAATATTTCCAGCTGAGATGGTGAGAAAAGTTCTACTTATATGGTTTCTTTTTTTAAGGTAACTTGAGTTTTCCGTTAAACAAATGGACCTAGAAATGTTAATCCTTTTTTTTTTTTTTTTTTTAAGTGGGAGTGGATTAAAAATAGAAAATGCTTCATTCTGTCTTGTGATTTTGGGAACTTGCAAGAAAAGTCAAAAAAATCGACAGGAAAAAAAACTACTCTGGCTCCACATGTTGAAATGAAATGAAATCAACTAACCTTACCCTTAATCCTTAGTCCCGACTGCAACTCATTTCTGTTCTGACTGGTGCATTCTTTTTCAATTTACTCATGTAGTCCATTGAAAGAGCAAACCTATTGTGGTAGACTCTCTGGATGATTTTCCAACATGTGGTGCTTTGATTCCAAATTAAGATGTCCAGTCCCCTTATCCTATGACATCTTAATTTACGTAAGAGCCTTTGGTGAGAGACCTTGTCAAAGGCTTTCTGGAAATATAAGTACACTATATTTACTGGATCCGCCTTGTCCACGTTTGTTGACCCCTACAAAGAACTCTAATAGTTTAGTAAAATATGATTTCCCTTGACAGAAACCATGTTGACTTTTGCCCAACAAATTATGTTCTTCTATGTGTCTGACAATTTTATTCTTTACTATTGTTCCAACTAATTTGCCCGGTACTGACATTAGACTTACTGGTCTGTAATGGTCATGGTCTCTCCATCTTTTCATCTCTTAGCCTTCATCAATATGATGTCCAACAGTCACTTCCTTGCCACTGTGTTGGATTTCCTCAATGGCTGGGTTCCTCTGCAGTTTCCAGCCGAGAAGGATCCACTCTACAGAGGAGTTTTTCCTGTTCCCTCCTAGCTGTGCTGGCAGATGAAGAAGAAAAGAGAATCTGGGACTTTTTTTTGAAAGTCCGTCACGTGTCCGGAGCTGATACCGTCACAGCCTGTTGTTCACCTGCACTGGAGCTAAATAGCGGAATCTGTTCTCTAGGGCAGCTCCGATCCCACCTCTAAACCAAGCGCCTGGACAACCTGTACTGGAAAGGGATCAGCAGTACACTAGATCTCACACCGTGGCTACAGCCCTGGAAAGACCTTGGCTACTAACAAGGCAGGGGTGAGGCAGGTTTGCCTCAAGATATCCACCAAATAAAATGTGTCTTTATAGCACAGCCATGTGACCTACATTAGCTCGGAACCTAGCAGCAGTGAAACCTCAGCTGGCCTGGACTAGCGAACTTGCTCATTAACTTCCCATCATTGCTTCCAGGGAGTGCAGAGATTATTTTTTTCTCCTGCGTTGCATCAGCGATTCTTGGGATGCAGCAGCTAGAAGAGCTCCCGGCTCAAGATGCCCTGGTGCTCTGAAGCTAGCCACTAAGAGGTCCCCAGAAGCAAAGACTGACAATTAAGTGCCATGTAAGGACGGTGTGAGAAACTCTACTCTTCCATGGAATCATTGAACCACAGAGCTGGAAGAGACCTCAGAAGGTCATCAAGTCCAGTCCCCTGCTCTAGGCAGGACCAACCCCAACTAAATCAACCCAGCCAGGGCTTTGTCAAGATGAGACTTAAACACCTCTAGGGATGGAGACTCCACTACTTCCCTAGGGAACCCATCCCAGTGCTTCCCCACCCTCCTAGTGAAATAGTTTTTCCTAATATCCAACCTGGACTTCTCCCACCTCAACTTGAGCCCATTGCTCCTTGTTCTGCCATCTGTCACTACTAAGAACAGCCTCTCTCCATCCTCTTTGGAACCTCCCTTCAGGAAGTTGAAGGCTGCTCTCAAATCCCCCTTCACTCTTCGCTTCTGCAAACTAAACAGACCCAACTCCCTCAGCCTCTCCTCATAGGTCATGTGCTCCAGCCCCCTAATCATTTTTGTTGCCCTCCACTGGACCCTCTCCAATGCGCCCACATTCTTTCTGTAGTGGGGGGCCCAGAACTGGACACACTACTCCAGATGTGGCCTCACAAGAGCTGAATAAAGGGGAATAATGACATCTCTGGATCTGCTGGCAATGCTCCTCCTAATGCTGTCCAATATGCCATTAGCCTTCTTGGCTACAAGGGCGCCCTGTTGACTCATATCCAGCTTCGCATCCACTATAATCCCCAGGTCCTTTTCTGCAGAACTACTACTTAGCTGGTTGGTCCCCAACCTGTACCAATGCTTGGGATTCTTCAGTCCCAAGGTCAGGACTCTGCACTTGTCCTTGTTGAACCTCAGCAGATTTCTTGTGGCCCAATCCTCCAATTTATCTAAGTCACTCTGGACCGTATCTCTGCCCTCAGGCATATCTACTTCTCCCCCTAGCTTAGTATCATCCGCAAACTTGCTGAGGGTGCAATCCATCCCCTCATCTAGATCATTAATAAAGATATTAATTCCAATGATTACATAGTTAGCAAAGTTGTTGACTTGAGTCCCACGATTTGAACTCGAGTCCAACTTAAGTCGCGTAGGTGACTCGACTTGAGACTCGTCTCGGGTTCATTGTTTGTGACTAGAGACTCAACTTGAGACTTGCTAATTTTGTTGAATTGACTTGGTGAAAAAATTGTCCTAAAATGCTGATGTGGATGGCTTGTACAAAAGTGACTTAACGTTTTTTAAATGAAGACTTGAGACTCGACTTGGAACTTGACTCGAAAGTGACGTTAGGGTATCAAGACTCAACTTGAGACTTGAATTGTAGTGACTTGAGACTCGACTTGGACTTGACAGTGATGACTTGAAGACAACACTGATAGTTAGAAGGGAGAACAATGAAAAATGAGAACTTGGCCATTTGGTTTGCACCAGCCTGGGCTCCTCCTGCATTACG